CGATTGTTGAGTAATAAATTTATTCTCTTCATTTACTCCAACACCTAATTTATTACTTCTACTGTTTTGTATTTATTACAACTTATAGTTATATCTATTTGAACAACATAGCAGATCAAATAGATGCAGTGAAAATTATCATAGCTTGTGCAGTGTTACATAATTATTTGCGAGAATACCAAAGGACTGATGAAATATTTATGGTCTATGAGCATGAAAATATAGATGTAGATGATATTGACCAACAAATGGCTCAAAGTAACATTGTTGGTTCGTCTTCTCGGTCACATGATCGAGAAATGCAAGTTCAACGTGAGGAAATTGTCCGTACTATGTGGGAAGATTATATTAAAAACTAGTACACTACAATTTATGTTCAATTTTTTTATTGAATTAAAGTTAGATGAAACAGCTACTTAAGTGGAAAATAAATAGCTTTGTAATAATTTATTATGCGATTTTATAATTTTTTGTTTATTTGGTAAGATTGAATAAACAATTGGAACTATTTTAATAGTTTTACAACTTATGAGATTCTTATGTTTATGAGAAAATATACAACACAAAAATTTCATATTGCATGTCCAAACAAAACTTCAATTTCATTTCATAATTTCATATTATGATATCATATCATGATTCCATATCATGATACCATATCGCATCCAATAAAATGGAAAAAAAAATCAAAAACAAAAATGTTCTTGTAAAATTGATTGACACTATTACCTTTCCTTTTCTGTTAAAATAAGTAAGAATAAAAAAACTTTTTCCACTAATTATTTCCATTTGAATTATATTAAAAGTGCAAGAAAAGTTATGCCCCAAAAGGGGGGACATCCAATAAAGTGAAGTCAAAAGATGGTGAATGTATTTTTTATTTTTCAATATTATTTCCTATTCCAGATGAATAATTCAATGATAAAATTTGCAGATTTAGAAGAGCTACTAATATTTTAGAATATACAACAGGTTAATTACATTTTATTTAGAGCTAATGTATTACATATAAAATAGCGATAGCGGAGCCATTAATTTCGTTAAGAGTATTCAAACTTTAAAGGGGTGAATAAAGAATTGGATGCACAAATCATTTATTTATTTATTTTTAGAAATAATAAAATAGACCAAGGCATAGTCTGTACCCAACAACATAAAAATAATAATATATCCCCATCTCGTAAAAGAAAATCCAAAATATTATTAGTTATATTTTAATTTAACCTTTACGAACCACAGGCCTTTAACATGTGTGGATCTACGTTACGGAATTCTGGGAACCTTGTAATCTTTTTCGAAATTCTATAATTATATTAAAATATGTTTTACTATTTTTTGTTTTTTGTTTTTCACGAATTGTTTGGTGTCTTTATTAAAGTTTCAATTAAATTTGAATCGTGTACTACAAGATCATTTGAGGGTGGCGCTTGGAGCGTGATTCTCTTCATATTCATGACTCAAACTAGAGACCTTTGATTAAGGGACTTAAATATGTGATGTGAAAATTAGAATCAATTAATAGTTATTAAAAAGGTGAATAAACAAATTGAAACAAAAAAACATATGTACAAAGTTGTTTTTTTATTTATCGTTTAATTTTTTTAAAATATATGATCAATAGGGGATCAATTCATATTCAAATTACTTATATGCTTCAAAGCAAGTAGAATTTTATGTGTGCACTTATAGTAATAATTTTCAATTTTAAGTTGCTCCAATTTGAATTTATTAGATGGCATTTCTCTATGTACACAAGTAAAAATGAATTGGACATAGGGGTCGGTTGGTAAAAGAGTAAGATAAATAAAATTGTTTTGTGAATTGAGATATCTCATGAAATTAATTATTTCATTAACATATAAATAAGATTATTAATTTTGGAATCAACTAATATAACTAATCAAACTCAGGATAAAATAATCTTATACATTCTCATACTAAATAATCCATTAATACACCCAATCTTAATTTATTGTGCTCATGCTTACACGGGCATGTAACATCTAATGTTAAAGATATAAGTTGGTGGTTGGTTATATGGAAAGAAGGGACCTTGCCAAATTTAAAATAATTCTTAGATATAAGTCTGCCTCCGAAAAAATGTTACCCTTATTATAATTAGAACAAAATTAACTTTAATTTTTTTCTTTTTACACTTAATGAAACTATTTACCACCATTGTTTAGGACACGAAATTTTTTAATTTTTTTTTAAAATATCGTATCAAATTAAGTAGTGACACATCAAATGAGATCGAGGGAGTACTACTATTGTTGGAACAAAATATCACATAATTATACGAATTTTCTGTTAGAAAAAAAAGAAGGTAGAGATGAGAATGAAGGGGAATAAGGATATTTAAAGATTTTGTTATTTGTAAAGTTGTCAGAAACATAAAGAGAGTTGAGTTCTCTGTTCATTGTTCTTTGCTCAGCTTAAAAGTACCAAACTTTTGAAGGAATTAAAAGTACCTTATTTTTTTGCACAAAATAAGAGTGTAACTGATATTGAATTTGATGTGAATTATTAATTTCATTTATGAATTATTGGTAATTTTAAAAATATTTTTTGCTTGATTAACTATACTTAAATACACCTCTGATCTGTCACATGACATAATAAGTGATCTCAAACTCTTATAGAAACATAGGGATAAATCTTAATAAAAAGTCAAGAGAAATATAGAAAACACTCCTAATTTTAACGGGAATTTAGAGGTATATTCTATTTATGTTACAAGATTAGGAGTCTATTCAAGTTTAGTTAATCAAGTAGAGATCTATTTTAAGCCTACTAATAATTTAAAAACGAAACTAACAATTTACGTCAAAATTAAAAATATTTTTTAATACTTTACTCTATAGATAGATTAAAAGCAAAAACACAACAGGTTGAAGCAGCAGTGTTTTATTTGTTTGGCAGACACACGTTACGTAACAAACAAAAAAAGATGGACTCATTTTATGTCTATTAGTGAAAATGCATGTCCTATCAACCTCTCAATTCTTATATTGGAGGAAAAAAAATATTATAAAAGAAGTCTATAAGACTTCGATACGGGAAAATAGATAATTTTGAACACATGAGACGTTACAATTATGTTTTCCATTACTTGATTGATTGAAATACATGGGGCTGGTCTCGATCTCGCTTGGTGATACCCTTCTCGATAATTATTGACTCAACATTAATTTTGTTAAATACTGCTATCAATTGTCTTAATAAGCTAGTTCAATCTCC